AATGGATAGGCAAACAAAGAGATTGCTATGATAAGCCAAGAGAGAGAGCTAATAGATAGTCGGGAGATAACAAGAAGCATAAATGTTTGAAAAAAATGTATATGTTGGGCTATGTCCCTAACCCAACCCCCACACACCAAGCCTTGTCATCACATGGGCTGCTATCACACACAATCCGTTGTCAGCTACTTATAGCCCCATTAGCAGGTTTAACCACTCCGTTGTTTTTCTCTCTGGTTTCCCTCTCCACCTATTAGTTACTCTTTCCCCTCCCCCACCCCATCGTCTGCACATATACCAACAATTTCCTCACTACCATCAGTTCTGAAGAAGGGTCACTGGACCCAAAATGTTAGCTCTTAATTTCTCTCCACAGATGCTGCCAGACCTGCTGAGTTTTTGCAGCAATTTCTGTTTTTGTTTGTCTTCATAAATGTTTGAAAATGGTTTGGCTGTGCTGAGAACAGCCCATACAGGACAGAACCTAAGGGTGTAGGAACAAGATACCCAGGGTCGTATCTTTGACTTGGAGAAAATCATAGAATCACTACAGTGTGGAAACAGGCCCTTTGGCCCAACACGTCCACACTGACCCTTGGAACATCCCACCCAGACCCATCCCCCTATAAGCCACCTAATCTACACATCCCTGAACAGTATGGGCAATTTAGCATGGCCAATCCACCTAGCCTGCACATCATTGGACTGTGGGAGGAAACCGGAGCACCTGGAGGAAACCCACGCAGACACGGGGAGAATGTACAAACTCCACACAGACAGTTGCCCGAAGCTGGAATCGAACCCTGGTCCCTGGCACTGTGAGGCAGCAGTGCTAACCACTGAGTCACTGTGCCACCAAAATGAGAGGAATTAAAGGAGAAGTTGTTCAAATTGAGGAGGAGCTCACCATGCAGAGGAGGATGATGATGAAGGACTTCTGCCTTCATCCCTCCCCTCCCACAATAATGATAGGGACAATGGTCCTCATTTTCCACTCCACCAGCCTCCGTTTCCAAAGGATTATATGCTGCTACTTCCACCACCTCCATTATTTCCCTCCCGTCCATTATCAACATTCCACAGAAACTATTCCACCCAAGACACCCTGGTCCACACCTCCCTCATTCCCAGCACTTGCTCGATTACTTCCTCCCTTCTCACTATCTAAGGCTCCAGACACACCTTCCATTGAGGAGACTAAACACAAACTTGGTGACTGCTTTGCCAAATACCTAAACTTGGCCCATAACAATGACCCCGAACTGCCAATTGCCTGCCACTTCAACACAGCAGTGTATTCCCTGGCCAACATCTCTAACTCAGGCATGCTGCAGTGTTCCAGTGAGGCTCAGCTGGAGGAACTGCACCTCACCTTCTGTCTAGGCACCTTACACACTTCAGCACTCAACATTGAGTTTAACAGCTTTACAACATGATCAGCCTCTCCCTTGTTCATTCCTTTCCATCAAACACATACATCCTGTCCGGTAGGGGCTACTCCTGGCATAACCTAAAAACTTTCAACAATTTACACTTCTCATTAGTACCCCACCTAACTATTATTTCTTTCACAGCTTATCATCAGCAATCTTTTTGTTTGCCTGTCTCCTTCCCTTTTAGCACAACCTCCACATACGCTCTTCTCACCCCAACATCACCACATCATCAGCATAAATTCCATTCTTCCCCAGCTAGCTTCAGTTCTGAAACATTAACTCAGTTTTTCTCTCTAAAGATGGTGCCACACCAGCTGAGTTTTTCCAACACTCCCTGTTTTAACACTGTTCACATGATGGTTTTTTTTTAATGGGTTAAAAATGGACACAGTATCACTGGAAAACATTACCTAATCAATCACATTTTATAGTAACTTTCAAAAAAAGAACTGGATCAATATTTGGAAATGAGAAATATTCAGGGCTATGTCAGGAGTGGAGTGTAACTAATCAGATTACTTTCAAACAACCAACACAAGTATGATGGGCTGAATGGTCTTGTTTTGTGCTGTACAATCTTCAATTATGTGAGAAGAGCACCTTTGATAACACCTTGTACAGAAATTGTTAAAAACCCCATGGTTTAAATTTTGCTATAACATGATGTACAGTCTTTATAATTTAGATTTATGAAGCAACTTTCACTGCTATGTGTTCTCTTTGAAAATTTCACTTAACATTAATCAAACTAAATAATCTTCATAGTTGGCTCATGAGATGAGTAATTTTTGTAATCACTAAAATGCAAGATATAGAAGCAACTGGAGAAAATTTTATTGGATCAAAATCTAATAACATTGTAAAATAATTCAATAAACATACACTGATCAGCTCTTTACTCCATCTGAAAAAAATGGCCTCCATCATTTCCATGGCCATTGGCCAAATGCACTGTAACCCTGCACCGCAGGCAGCACTGGCAGCTATCATTGTAATGCTACAGCAAGGACACTGTGTGCTGAGAGACATGAAGCCAGCGCTTGGAGTGAACCAGGCTGCATCTCAGGGCACTTTTCATGCTGTCATGGCACTATCTTTCTTTGACCCTACCAAGAATGCTTGCAGCATCCCTGCCCTTCTGTGCTTTGCTCCCTCTCAGCTTCCCCCCTGCCCCCACCTCCCCCAACCATGATATCCATCTTGCCTCACCATTTAGTGCAGATAGAAAGGTTCCTTCCTTGTCATAATTGGCAGCAGGCCTCAATCAAGTCAAGGGGATAGCCTTCGCTAAGGGGTTCCCAACACGGTAATTCAAGGGTAGTCTTTGCCCCTAATTGGGCTGTTCAGAGTCAGGAACCTCTCCTTACAAAGGATGAAGGGCCAAATGACAGACAGAGCAATATCTATCTCGAGTCTTTCTGCCCTATTTGCTCTGTTTTCATCATGGAATTGAGAGACAGGCAGGTATTATGGAAGCTGGATAACAGATAATGGAAGCAGATAATCTGGTGGATTACTATTGGTACAGAGATAGTAGGAACTACTGATGCTGGAGAATCTGAGATAACATGGTGTGGAGCTGGATGAACACAGCAGGCCAAGCAGCATTAGAGGAGCAGGAAAGCTGACGTTTCGGGTCTGGACCCTTCTTCAGAAAATACTATTGGTACATGTGGGAAAGTATCATAGGCAAATGAGTAGGAGCACAGAACACTTGCAGAGTTAGTCGTGTCGAGGGTTGAGGTTGGGTGAGAGCAATTCAGGGAGGATGTTGAGGGCAATAGTTGAAGTGGTAAAGCGAGAGCCTTGGTTGGAGGTGATACAGTGGCAGAGACACAGTGAGTGTGAGGTATTGGAGAGAAGATGGTGGCACTTATGGTAGCGGAGTGGAGAAGGACACTGACCTTCTTCCTACATTGCTGCATAGTTCCTCAGACAGCTGACATTGCTTTAACCTGGAAAACAATCTCAGATCAGGCCGTTTTTTTTGTGGCCTCCACTGCTGGTCCTGGGGGAAATTTAAGTCTCATGTCCTGCCCCCCCCCGACTCCTTCCTCTCACCACCCCTCCCCCCCGCCTCTGTCCAGCAGGATCTCCAGGTTCCTACCCACAAAATGGGGTATCTATTTCCCCGAATCTGCCACGTCCAAGGCAAATGTCAGCAGCTGTGCGGGACAGTTCTGGACAAACCATGGCCTTTGAGGCACAACAGGCTTTTAATGGTGACACAGGCACAAGGGATTCTGGTGAATTCTGGAAAATCTAGTGAGTGGCAAGTTGTTGTGGAAACAGTGTGTATTATAGGGATTGGCAGCTGTTCATAAGAGACACCATAGAGACATGGCAAGCCAATAATTAGGTGAGTTTTGAAAGATAGGGTGAGAAAACCCACTGGACCTCACGGCTAGAAACCTTCCAAAAAACTTGATGCAATTGGACTTAGCCAGAAGAGCATCAGATTCAGTCCCAGTGATTTCTTCGAGGAAGTAGCATGTTGTGAACAAAGGAAAACCAGTGGATGTTAGTGAACTGGGATTTCCAGAAGGCATTTAATAAAGTGCCATGTTAAAGGGTAGAGCAGAAAATAAAAGCTCATGATATAGAGAGTAATTTGTTGAGTAGACAGTTGGCTGGCTAACGGAAAGGAGAGAGTGGGCAAAATTGGGTCTTTTTCTGGTTGGCAAGACGTAATGAATGGTGTGCCTCAGTGATTGGTGCTGTGACTTCAACTGTTTACAATTTATAGAAGTGACTTAAATGAAGACACCAAATATATTGTTGCCAAATTTGCTGATGACACAAACATAAGTAGGAAAGTAATGCTGTGAAGAAGACATAAGAAGGTTACAAAAGGATATTGGTAGGCTACGGGAGTTGGCAAAGATCTACCAAATGGAGTATAATGTGGTAAAAAGTTAAAATTATCGATTTTGGCAGGAAGGATAAAAATTAAATGTATTATCTAAATGGTGAGAGATTGCAGAGCACTGAAATGCAGAGCAATCTGGGTGTTCTAGTGCATGAATCACAAGATGCTATGAACTTACAGCAAGTAATTATTAAAGTTAATGTTATCATTTATTGCAAGGGGAATTGAATACAAAAGTTAGGAAACTCTGCTTTAGTTACAGTGGGCAGCGATGAGACCACAAACAAACAGAAATTGTTGGGAAAAACTCAACATGTCTGGCAGCACCTGTGAAGAGAATAATAGTTAATGTTTCTAGTCCAGTGACCCTTCAGAACAAAGAGTCCCCAGTACTTTCCATTTTTGATTCAGAAATTCCAGCATCCATAGTTTTTTGTCTCATTTAAGAAATGAAAGAGTTGGATGCAGTGCAGTTTGTGGTAATGTCAGATGTGCTTAGCAGGAAATTTAACTGTACAAGGTAAAAAGAGATAAGACAAATATCTACCAAAATGAGGATGCATTCTTTGCAAAAAGGACTATGTTCTTTTGTTGTAGTGCAAGACTGGGGCATATTTGAAAATTTAACCCTTCTGTTTCATCTCACCCACTTTTCAATCAGATCTGACATTTGGCTACTCTCTATTGTTATCCAGATCTGGGACATGGCCATGAGTTCCCAACCCTGCTCCATTTTGCAGCCAAGAATGGACTAGAGAATCTTGTCACTCTGCTTCTAGAATGTCCTGGATCAGCCCAGGCCTCCACTGTCCTGAATGTTTGTAGAGAAAACCCAAGAGATATCGCTGAAAAGAATGGATTTCTGCAAATCCGGGAGCTCTTAGATAAATTTGCAGTAAGTTGTTTTTATTCACTGGGATATGGGCATTACTGGCTGGCCAGCATTTTTATTGTCCATCCCTTGTTGCCCTTGAGTTATTTTAATGTTGGTCTTATCCAAGTGATTTGATTTAATAAAGGTAAAACACAATGTTAACCTGCTGATTGCTGAGGTGACAAGGTGCATGCGGAGAGCCAAGCATGTCCACAGCCTTCTCTCTGCTCAGTGATCCTGAAAGACGAGTAATACTGGAAATGGGGCCAAATTCCAGTTAACAATATGGTCCACTAGAATATAAAATCAAAGCACAAATTGAACGTGTGAAGAATGATGGGAATACAACCTAGAAAAAGTTGTTAGTTCACAGCATCTCTAAAAGGTTAATGATCCATTAATGCAACTGACAAACGAGTTAGGAAAATATTTTTAATAGAGATGATGTATATCGGTCATTATAGGTAACTGGTCAGAAATGGCCATGAGTTGAAGAGTCTTTTGCATTCCTATTCTTTCTCCAGCTTCCCTGTCTATAAATTCCTACACTGCTCCAGCTAAACTAAAAGATCTCATATCAGGTCCAAAAACAAAGTTGCTGGAAAAGCTCAGCGGGTCTGGCAGCACCTGTGAAGGAAAAAACAGAGTTAACGTTGCGGGTCCGGTGACCCTTCCTCAGAAGTTTTTTCGGTTTTTATTTAATATTTTAAATGTATATTTGCATTTCAGGCCAGGCCTGAAACGGTGAGAATAGCCCATGGGGTTTTGTACAGTTTCTGGCCCTGCAGTCTGCTATAGCCTTAGACTATGATCTTTTGCAGTGGCTGCCCCAAGCTTTAGAACATACCTTAGTCTTGGAACTTGAAACATGCCAGTTGGTAACACTTGGCTCTGACAGCTCCATAACAGTGCAAGTTACTGTCTGTCTGTCTAAACAACATCTTTCACTGACTTGATGGTCCCTCTGCAGCAGTAGCCCATATAGCAGTGTTGTGGAGGTTTTCAGAATGAACCTTGGCAGAAAAACCTTCTTTGCAAAAGTACTTTCCAGAATGAAGACTCTTCCCAACCACAGCTACCTCAGGGGCAGTGAGCGGAGACAGTGGGACCAGGTGAAGGTCAAAAGGTTCAAGCAGAGAAAAGCCTCATTGTTGTCAGTCAGTGTTTTGCTTGGTAGTTTCTTGAAATGTCTGGTGATGAGTCATTCTGTCAAATCAAAGAACAATCTCGCCAGATCCCATGACCTTTTCTTTACCTGGCTTCAAGGGTATTGTGTGTAGACTTGTTATCTGTCTGCAAAAATCTTTTAAAACTTTCAATATTTTTGTCTGGTGCAACTGACTGCATGGTTGAGCACAGTCATCCACTGCAACACCCTGGGATGGGCAGAACCTTAGCAAATAGAAAAATTCCTGGTCAAAGTTTATAAAATTATGAGAGATGTAGATAGGGTTGACAGTCAGAATCATTTCCCCAGAATTGAAAAGTCTAATACTTGAAGGCATACACTGAAGGTGAGAGAGGGAAAGTTCAGAGGAGATGTGAGGGCCACATTTTTACACAGAGAGTGATAGGTGACTTTGCAGAGAATATTTTAATACCTAGGCCTCATTTCCATAGGTAAATCTCATGATCGAATAGGAAAATTTTCCCGTCTGATAAATATGAGCATGTGCCCATAGCAGGAGAACAACTGAAATTACCTCAAAGCTCAAGGATTAGAAAAGGAATGAAGAGTAGATGGATCCAAATTTCCAAAGGCTTTGGAAAGATTGAGAAGAATTAGCAATTCCATTAGTAGCTGCAGATGCAGGGCGCTGGGGATCAGCAGGACGGAGGGGGTGGTCTGAATTTGATGACCTACAAAGCTGAATGGAAAGTGAACAGAAAGTGCACAAAGCTTTAATCTAATGATAGAATGACCTAAACCCACCCTTTGTTAAATGACTGAGATAAGGTGGTATTATTGCACAAGTTGATTGTCCACACAATTTCCATCCATCATGTGCAAGTTGCAGGTTGCTTCAAGGATTTGGTATTAAATTTCAGGCTTCACTGTACCTGTGTGCCAAAGAGATAAGGTTGGCAATATTGGGCTGGCATAATTTTTTAAATTCACTTTTGGAACATGGGCGTTGCTAGCCCTAGTTGCTCTTGAGAAGGTGGTAGTGGTGATTAGCCTTCTTGAACTGCTACAGTCTATGTGCCGTAAGTAGACCCACAATGTACTTAAGGAGGGAATTCCAAGATTTTGACCCAGCAACAATGAAAGAACAGCAATATTTTTCCAAGCTAGGAAGGTGTGTCACTTGTACAGTCGATTCTCGATGATTTCACCACATGAATATCTGCTTCCACCCCCATCCCATGGCACCTCATACTCTCCATTGTTTTTGTCTCATA